ACCTCACTTTTTTACTCTTAAATTCTTATATAGAAGTTTTGCATCCTCTAAAATTCAGAAAAACTCTTTGGTCTTCTCTTATTTGAAAAATTCACCGCTGATGTTATTGAGAGTGTTGAAAAAGAGAGTTACCTTCTGTAAGAAACAGGAACAATTCCAGCCCTATAGAGAGCAATGCGCTGAAAAACAGGTTGAGAGAGATCAAAATGCTGTTGGGGAGGATTACACCACCCTCCTGCATTGTTTGGAAGAGCATTATTTGGTGGGCAGAAATTGGTTGCAGTGACCACAATGGAACCAGGAAGGCACCATTGCCTGTCATTAACGCACATAATCTCATAACAAGATCCACAGCTCAGCCCATTGTTGAAAAGAGCAGTGCTAAGAGCTGCAGTGTTAGTCCCATATCCCTGACTGTACAGATTCCCATACCCACAAGCTCCACCTATACACAAATAGCAAAGTCAGAAGAGAAGAAACCTGCTTTTATTTTGATATTATTGTTTAATATTTTCTTACGCTATGATGTTCAGGAAAGTGCTTAAGGGTGTGTGTGAATGTGAATTTTACTATACATGAAAATACATATGGGTGCATTATCTTATGTATGTTGATATGCATAAAATAATTTGTACATAACAATGAATAACAAAAATACACGTACTAACACGAAAATTTATTATATGTGGCATTCGAACGCGTCCGGAGGCGAATCCGGACGCACCACGTCTGGTGACGCTCCACGCCACCAGACGTGGCGCGTCCGGATTCCGCACAGAATAATCTCTCCACTAACACACCTTCCTATACATGCATAGAGTGAGAGAAGAGAAACATACCCATAGTGCCAGAAGCATCACTTCCTCCATAGAAGGTCGCATGAGCATTGGTCCAACCTCCTCCCTGCCCATAACAAATGGCAGTAGAGAAGAGAAGGAGAAAGCTTACCATTAATAGCATATTAAAGGCCATATCCCTGTTTCTATTTTCTTCTTGAGTGGAGCAGGTTTTGTTTGATTGGAAAAAGAACAGCAAAAAGAAAGAATTGTTTGTGGTGGGAACAAGGAGTGAATGGAAAAGAGGAAGTTGGGAAATGAGGGATAATAAGGGAATGTTTGTGAGGAGAAGAGGGGAGGGGATAGGTGGATATAAATAGTCATGGAAGGTGGAACCACAGTTCAGATTGTCCTGCTTTTATGACAGACTGGTGCAAAGTTCTGTTTAAGGTTAAGGCAGGGGTAAAGAACCATAAAGCTTGTAAAGTTGAATCTACAAATTACTTAAAAAGATTTTGCTTTTTTTTTATATATATTTAGGTCAATTAAGGCAGACTCACACATACATTGCATACGTAAGAGTCGAATTCAAGACCTCTCAATTGGTAGCCTAAGCTCCCAACCATAATAATAAGATCCCATAAGATTTTGTATTTTGATAAGATGAATATAACTCCCTCCATTTCTGTATAATAAGTGTTTGAAAGCGATTCAAGTAAAATTTAATTTTGCAATTAAATCCAAATATTTATTTATTTGATAGAAAATGAATGAATGTAAATTCTTGCTTTTAGAAATTCACATTCATCAAAATATGAAGGTGAAAAGTGACTTCTTATTTGGAGCGCTTGAATCAGCATTCCGTTTGTTTAGTTTATATTGTTTGTTTTTGCTATCTGAACATTCTAAATTTTAAATTTTCAACCACAATTTATATTCAGCTTTTAAAAAAATAGAATATTTTATGTTGAATGTTTTTTCCCATCACAAAACAGTAAAGAAAACATATTACAAACACAACACAACCTTACGTTAGTTTTCTTTTTTTACTGTAAGAATAATTAGAAATTAACACAGTCGAGAGAGTCGGTGGCAATTTTACTTGTACTCGTTTTATTTAACAGTAGAATAATATAAATGAATGTGAAATTGCATTGAAACAAAGCTCATTACTTCAAAATAATCAAATGCCACTGAAGATTACTGTACTAAAGTTTGCTTCAAAATCTAAAATCTAAACACCGTCAAAGTATTATGTCGAAGCTATCATAAATTTTGGGGGACGCGGCCCTTCTTGATTCATTTGTTGGGAGTTTTGATTACTAATCAAAGGTCTTGACTTCAAAGCTTGCGTATGGGGTGAGTGTGAATTTGCCTTAGTGGTTTCAATGTCCCAAAAAATAACAATAAATCCGGGGTGACTATTGGCCGGGAATAAGGTAAAAAAGAGTAGAGGCATCTCCA